TTTCTTAAGGAGTTAATGGCATTTTAAAAAATATTTTGTTATTGAAACACACCTTTCTCAAAATCATGACTTCAATTTTATTATTTTTTGCAATGAATTGAGTTCAAGTATTAGCCCCTCCCTCACATAAATAAGCATTAATTTCAAGCTTTTACCATTCAGGCAAATAAGAAGCTTCTCTATATCTACATTCAATCTTATATCTTAATTTAAACCATTTTGCTCAATATGAATTTCAATGGAAGTAGAGGAAAATAGGTTACTCTTACTCATCAAAATTTTGTTCTTAGAGTAATATCATATAATGCATGAAATATACTATGAAGATCATTTAGTCAGCATAATAATTTAATACTTGATTTTTCTAATGTTTTTACCACAATGTCGCTGGCCTCTTTTGAAACTTACAGTTGTGAGAAATTCATCCCTTAATGTTTTGATAACTGTGAAAGTTGGAAAGTCAGTTCTTACGCTGAGATTGTTCTGATGGTATTTATTTTCTTACTTATTTTCTATGCAGTTTTCTCTGAGTCTTCATCAATTTTAGCATTCGTTCTCTCTTTTAAGTAGTATGACTATGTAGGGGAGGAAAAGTAATTTTTCCTGTACCCTTCTGAGTTCTTAGCTGAGACTCTATAATAATAATAATTTAAAAAAAAGATTAACAAGAGAAAAACAAACACAAATTTATTATCATGTATATTTTATGTATACATGGGAGATACCTAGGAAAGATGAGTAACTCAAAGAGGTGTCTTTAGAATTCAGGATTAAATATTATCTTAATAGGGAAAGGGAAGGGGATTATAAGCCTCTTAGAGTAAATAGCTCTTTGGAAGGATAAATGGGTTCTTAGAAGAGTAGATGGGAGATGTAATAGTTTGTGACAAAGTTTGTCTGGGTGTTCCGTCCACTGCTAGTCTGTTCTCCTGTGATAAGAATCAATCTTTGCTAGTTGATGAAGCTCCTAGGGAGAGAGAGTCTATAACAATTGAGTTCCTTTTTGAGGATCTGACTTTAGGTAGATAAAGGGAGTTCAGAGAAAACCTCTCCCTGAATCTGCTGTTTTGTAAATGCCTACAGCTCAAAGTAATCAATATACCAAAAAGTGGCATATTTTGGGGTGACGTGTTAAACTCCTACTGTTGTAAATTAGGGTGGCATGTTCTGCTACTCTTCAAGTGAAATTGAGCTAAACTCTATGATTAAGACAAATGTGACAAATAATGCTTTCCTATTTATTATTAGAAGGTATCTTGACAAGGATTGCGCTTAGTGGGAAAGAGAACTCTGTGTACCTTGTAGTGTCTGCCAGTGATGTGGAAGAAAAGAGTGATAGCAACCATGTAGTTGCTGACCTAAGAGAAATATTAATTGGAGTTTCTCATATTATTTTAAAGTATCCTATAATGTATGGCACTCTTCTACATTGTAGTCATGTTTAAATAATGGTATAACCCTCAAGGTTTCCTTAGTCATTTTTTGTCTTCACATAAATGAATACATATTATACCTATTCAATTTATCTTCATTATAATGTTGAAACATATTTTAATACCTAGATTTATATATTACAGTTCTATATTAATTTTTAAAATTCTTCATCTTTATTTTCCCTATAGCTCTTTTTGTAAATGTTTATGAATACTTTGAATTTAATTTATATATTTTGAAATACTAATATTACTTTTTAAATTTTAATTTCCTAATGTGCTGTGTTAGTTCAGGTTTTTCCTCTAATAATTAAACATCGAAATGAGATTTAACAAGCAAATATTTTGTTAGGCAGCCAAATATATATATATAGAGAGAAAGTGATTACAGTTAATTCTTGTAATGCATGTAATACATTTTTGATATGGGCAAGCTCTTTGCCCTAGTGTTCTTGAGGGGAGTAAACTTCATACCCAGTCTGACATGAATGTAGCTCTGTTCATGATGTGACCTGTATTCAGAATAAAAAGCTAGTTGTAAACTCTTTAGAGACTCATGAGTTTGAACTTACCATCTGAACAGACTGAATAAGCCGGCACTCATAGAGTGTTAGCTAGCTTGTCATTTATGGGAGAGAGTCTTTAACAGCTGTCCTGTACAGTGTCCCTTTGTCAAGGAGAATGAAAGTCCATGGTTTATTGCCTGTAGTGTCATTATAGAATGCGATGAGAAATCTTTCTAGTGAAGAATTGCTTGTAATCTGTGTCCTTAGCAATGCCATTTTATAAATGAACAGAAAATGTGTTGTGAAATGCATGTAGCCATCTCTGAGAGCCATTCAATTAAGGCACTGAAAACCTATTGGAGCCTTAAAACGGGTATACATGCTTGCTTAAGAAGGAAGATAGATCCCTCTGAGGAATAATACTTGAGTTAAGAGCTGTGAGTTGAGTAACTCCTGTTCTGCGAGCTTCTGTTTTGATCTGGGCTCCAAACATTTCCTGTTTGGGAATTAAAAAATAGATAAATTGAATTGCCTGCAGTGTTGTTTCAAGAGATCACTTGCCAACTGCACTTTCTGATGCAAACTTGGAATCCTCCAACATCTACAAAGTGTGAAAACGATTAGAGAATCCTGGAAGTTTTCATGTTGGAAATTCATACGAAGCGGGATCAGGCAGCCACATTTTGGAAGGGTGTGTGTATGGTGAAGAGACCTCCATCATTTGTGATGAACAATGCGGTCCAATGTTTCAATACCGTGCTTCATTTGCTGTCACTAGGAGGGGATAGAAAATCTATTTCATTTAGGGACAGTCCGCAGAACATGCAAAGAAAACAGGTTTTCTATAATCCAGAATTCCAGGACACGATTCATGCTAGTATGGGTGAATGTTGTGAAGTCTAAGGTGGCAGCCAAACGATAAATAGAAAGCGATTACAGCTATTACAAAATATTCTATTCTGACCAGCCTTAACAAGTTGTAAAATATTTTGGTTAAATATGCTAAGGAAATACAAGAAACAACTTCCCATTAATGAGACAAAAAATAAATTTCAACATTATGTTTATGTAATAGAAAGAGATCTGGGGGAAAAAACACATAGAAGGAATATAAATAGAATGAACCTTCAGAAGTTTCATTTTCTCACCTTCAGGGGGACTCTCGATCCTGTTTTGCTTAGCAATGTGTTTCTCAGTTTTCACATTGAAATATTTTCCTTTAATCTCAAGAAATAACTACACCTAGCTGCTTTTGCTTGCACCATTACCTCCAAAATGTCCTTCCTTCACTGTTTCATAGATAAACTCCTATTTTACAAGGCTGAATGGGAACACAGATACTATGTGGCTGATCTCAGAGTAGATACTATTTGATATGGATCCTGAAGGAGAAAATAGTATAGATAAAAGTATGGAGATGGAGAAGATTTGTTTCAGGGGAAAATAGTGAAAACTCCTTTACCTGTATAATAGACAATCTACCTAGTAAATTATGTTTGATGCTAAGGGGAAGCAGAATTTGGCATCCCAAAATATGCCCTGTGCAGTATTAATTATTTTAAGCTGGTTATTTTTAAGAAAATAAAATTCAGGAAATACTTCTGAACTTCCCCATAACTATCTCAAAGAAATGTCCTATTATCAAAGATAGCTATAATTTAATAGGAACTAGTATGATAGGGAGAAACTAGCAAGGCCCATTTGATAAAAGCCCCATTGTTAAAGACAGCCCAACAAACATTTGTTTATCAAACATCTGATTTCCATTTCCATGTGAATTGCTGTCCTGCATTTTGAAGTCCACAACCACTACCCCCACCCCCAGCCCCTGTTTTCTTAGCTCAATATTTCATACAAGCCTTAACTGACTAATCTGGTCTCATATTCTTATGTAATCCTTGTATTTTCTCAAATTTGGTTATTTTTTTTTCTGTTAACCTCTCATGATAAATTGATTTTTAGTCCAGCCAGAAGACCTTAGAAGTTAGAAGGAAAATTAATTTTTCCACCCTGCAGTGCATGCTCTGATATTTTCTGTCAAAGAAATGCTGTCAAGTTATCTATTGCTCTATTGAACTTTACCTTTTGACATTTATTATTTATATACAAAACTCATATTGTACTTGCTCTTAGAGATTGTTATGATTGACTTTGGCCAGCATTTATGTAATTCTGACCTCAACTAATTAGTAGAAACAGAATGTTATAATTCTTCTCAGTGATTGTAAATTGCATTACATTTACAAAGACATTTTATGAATAAACATATGAAATGATAATAAAATGCTAGATATATGGCCAAATAACAGAACTACTGCCATTAAGATAAAAGTGGTAAATATATATGTATAACATAGGATATTGGGATTGTGCAGTTTTTGATCCTGAGATCAGATATTACTTATTATCCTTGATTATATTACATGGATTGGTAAAGGCTTTGTGGGTCCTCTTGTAATAATTATCATTCTTTGACTATTGCTAGTGTGTTTACTTACAATTATATAGAATCAAGATAATTTATATAATAGACACAAAGACTTGGACTTTATTTCATATTTAATTATGCCAGAAAGGCATATATCTTATATTTAGGAAAAAGATCCTAAATTGTGTCAATGGACACATCGAGAGATTTACAAGAACAAAACAAACCAAGAAAATACTGTATTTGTTTGTGTGTGTATACAAATATATAACCTTTTTGCAGACTAATATTTTAAAATTATTATTTTACTTGCAACAACAATGTTCCTTTTATTGTTGAAATACATGTAATATGAATCTGTTTTCTGTCACATGGCTCATGAAACATTATTTTTATGCTATAAGGATCATGCCAAAACTATACATTAGATGAATATATTGAGTACTTGATAAGCAGAAGCATTTTTCTGAGTTAGGTAAGGGGAAAAGTAAGAATGACATCGTTGTCTTCAAGGAGTTTGTATTCTGTTGGAGAAACTATTATGTGTAAGCATATAAATAAGTAGTAACACCAAAGAAGTATGTGGCTAATTGCTATAAGAGAAATGTAGACATGTATGATTTGAGTATAAAGAGAATAAGTGCTGTGGTGAACTAAATAGCTTCTTGAAGGAAGTGAAAACTGTATTTGAAGCAAGAACTGGTTTTGTTCAATGCAATTGATTCTGATTAGTGTACTGGAAGAGGAATGAGAAAAGATTGAAGGAGAAAATTGGAAGAAAAAGCTTGAGGAAAGGAATTTACAAGGTGAGTTCAGAGGACAGTGAGCAGCATAGCAGTACTAGTGAATTCATGAAGAAGACAAATGGGAAACACTTAAGTAAAAGAAACATTGTCAAGCAGTGTTTCTCAAAATATGTATGTTTTTTTAATTGCCCGATATTAATCACTTGAGATGCTTCTTTAAAATATTTTTGTACTCCTTTTCCTCAAGTCTACAGAATTAAGATATCTGAAAATAGAAAAGGGAAATCTGAGTATGTAGGTGGCTACCTGTATGTTTTCAGTTTTAATTTTTCACAAATATTTGAAATACAAATGAAGAAAATATGTGCTTGCAGATTCCTTTTAGGGAGAGAAATAACATGACAAGTTAGTTCACTGTGTATGATAGCTTATACAGAGATAAAATAAATGTTAAAAGAATAGTCTATACCTGAACAAGTATTCAGCTATATCCTAGGGTTCTGCAGATAAACAAAACTGATAGGTTTGATATGGATAGACAGATAGATGATAAAAGATGATAGATGATAGTAGATAATAAATGATAAAAAAATAGATGATAGATGATAGATATAAATAGGTGATAGATGATAGACAAGCAGACTGAACGACATACAGAAAAACAGATAGATGATAGATAAGTTTACAGATAGAGACATAAATAAATTTATATTGAGAGCTTGGTTCACATGATTATGGAGACATAAGAAATGCCATGGCTACGATTGGCTGTCTGCAAGTTGGAGGCCCAAGAAAGTTAGTGGTATAATTTCAAACCAATTCCAATGGACTGAGAAACAGGAATGAATGGAAATGGTGTAAGCCCTAGTCTGTGTGAAGGCCCAAAGACCACGAACACCAATGTCAGAGAGCAGAAGAAGATGGATGGTCAAGCTCAAGCAGAGAGCACATTTGTTGTTTCTCTACCTTTTGGTACTTACTGTTCAGCCCTCAACAACTTGGATGATACCCACCCACATCGATAAAAGTGACCTTCTCTACTTAGTATACCGATTCAAATCCCAAATACCCTCACAGATGCACTCAAAAATAATATTTCATCAGCTATCTGGGCTTCCCATGGTTCAGTCAAGTTGACACCTAAAATTAATCATTATAGCCAGTGAGATGGGGAAAATATAGAACATATACAAAAGAAAAGTTGATAGGACTTGATGACTGGTGATGACGAGAAAGGAATTAAACAAAGATAATTTTATACTTTTGATCCTAGGTGACATAAGTTAAATCAAGAAAATAGTTGGAAATAAACTGAAAATTCAAAAGAGGTTCAAGACTGGGCGTATAGACTTTGGAAGAAATCACATAGGATGATTACTTAAGCCAAGAGAGTTTTATGTAAGGGATCACTAGCATCACATGGTATAAACACAAAATGAAGTTTAATTTGGGAAATCAGGCAGAAAGGCATCAAAGAAAGAAAAGCATCTCTCTAGTCTCCTTAACCCATAGAGAGAAGAATCTAATTTGTACATATCTGAACACCATAAAAAGAGCTAAAAGCATTAGAATTAAAATAGTACTACTCTACATTTTGAAAGGGAATTTGGAAGTAAGCTAAGGAAAAATGCATTGATCACATAACAATGGGAGTTTCCTGGTCAAGAAAACATACCTTAAGGCAGGGAAGCTGAAGAAGCTAAGCAGTTTGTACCAGGGGGAGGCAGTTTAGCTCCATTGAGCCAACTCTGATACAATGACCCACTTTGTTTATCTGTCAAAAGAGAAGAATTAATGAGCCTCCAGGGCCATCTAGTCTGGTCTTTCTGAGAGACTGGCAGGAGAAAAGAGCAAAAGACTGAATTTGGAGATAACCTTCATTTAGTGAATGAAAGAAACAGCCACCGAAGAGGCCATGGAAAAGAGCAGTTAACTGTTAGCCAAAGGAGAGGAAGAATTTCAAGGAGGTAGAGGATGGTGAAAACATCGAACATTACTGATGTTCAAGAAAATTTACAACTAAGGAAAATACGTTTAATAATAGTCAGTTTGACCATACAGTAACTATATTTAATGTCAAATAGTGACAATCTTTCTGTGGAAGAAACAGGGAAATTACAGTAGGTAAAGGATTTCTTTGTTTTATCTACACAGTACACAATTAACAATTTAGTGTGTCTTAATTATTTCCTGATTTCTTTTGATTTTTTAATTTTTATATTTTTGAGGCCTGCATTTCAGTTTAATTTATATTTTATATGCATCCAAAAGCACACACTGAGAATTTTATGTTTCAGAAATAAGGAACAGAAATTTAGTTTGTCATTCTTTATAATCATTATTCAAAACACAAGCCTTTTTCCAAAGCTAATTCATTTTTTATCTCCAGAAACTTTCATAAGTTCTATTAATCAGTTCTTCTCCTTGTTTTACTCACTCTTGATATCTTGTCCCTAATTAATCCTCTATGTAATATCTTGAAATAATTGCTGACAACCAATTCAAGGAAATCATTATTTTAATGCTGTCACTTTCAATTTTCAAAATCTAATTTCATTTATGTATTTACAGCATATGCTTTCTATCAAGATTCCTTGATA